CCCACCTCAACCACAGGGATTTTTCCCAACAAAGGACATGAGATACTGTTTTCAATTAACAGGAGTTCCCTGGCCTCTTTATGACCTAAAATTTCCCCTGAATGAAAGTACAAAACCTATTTGTTTAACCTGGACATTTCAGCCTTCTCAGAAGAGAAATAAATGCTGTCTCCTCCTTAGTCTGAGCTCTAGTCAGACTTTCATCTTGTGCATGAAAAGGAGGGGAGAGAAAATGGGAAAGATTCTTCAGGGAATTAACAAAAAACCCTCCACAGTAAGTAAAAAATATCTGTATCTCTTGAACATCAGCATGCAGCTCTGCAAAAAACTGTGCCTGTCTTTTCCCTAAGAAATAGCTCATGGATACCCATTCCTTAACTGGGCCAGCCACAGCATCAACCCTAACAGGAATGCTGAGTTAACCTGGAGAAAAGCAGGAATTAGACCCAGTGAATACACTTTTTTCCCTGAGAAAGACAAAGCCATTTCAGTGGCAAATGGGCAGAAAAGCCAGGGAAGTGGTTGCAGTGCAGATCTGCCCTTCCCGCTGGAGAACCCAAACAGCACCGGGTGGGAACGGTGTCAGCTCCGAGGATCATGCCAGGAATAATGCCCCCTCACAGGAGATAATCCAGGAATAATGTCCCCTCACAGGAGATAATGCCAGGAATAATGTCCCCTCAGTTGTACATGAGGAGGTTGCAGCTCCACAGAGGGACTTGGGGGCCACCAGAAAGCACAAGTGTTAAAGTGGAGCTTTCAGCTCCTCAAATTACTGCCTTAATTTATGTGCAGTAAAGAGCACCAAGCAACGTGTTCCACACTTAGATTTTAAAAGGATTTTTCCCACTTTGCCTCTTGTCCTCTCCTTTAACCTCCCAGTAAATTCCCATTGGCTGCTGCTACCACGCAAACCTGAAATTTTAATTCCCTTCCACATCTCCACAGCCTCGTTTCTCTGTGGGTGCAGATATTGGGAAATTAGCAAGAAATGGGGAAAATCACATTGGAAAAATTTCACCTTGAGGGTTTTTATCTCCCCACCTATCACAGGAGTAATGGAGCAGACGACAGGAAGATTTTAATGCTGATTTAACACCTATCTATTTATGCTGCTGCATATATGTATTTATTTGTGTTCCTCCCTGAGCTCGGTACGTCCTCAAGAGCCAGGAAATGGAGCTGATTAATAGAGCTCCTTCCTCCAAATGCACAAGGTAAATTTGGCCTAAATGATAATCAGTGAGTTTGATTTTACTCTTCCCTCCAGAATCGAGTTGGAGGGAGTGTTTTGGATAGAGGAATACTGATGGAGCCATCCTTCCACAGTCCATACTTTTACTTCACATTGCAATTCCTCTCCATCACAAAGGCTGGAGGGCTGCTGGAAATGTTGGTCAGCAGGTTAAATATTTATAAACTCTATAAAAATATATGCTAATTTGAAAATAGTAAACTAAGCTTAGGACATGGCTTGGGGCAAATTTAAACAAAGTCATCAAAGCAAGAGCTGTGTTTTATACTAAAGCCATAGGCAGAGCACAACAGGTATAACTCTGAATTTCTTTCTGCTAAAGACAAGCACTAAATCCAGGGCACTGTTTGCATACCAAGGCTGCCTGGAGCAGGGAATGAATCCATCCCTGAGCCTGTCCTGCAGCCCTTTCCTAAAACTCCAGGGTGATTTGGAATGGAAGGACCTGAAACCTCCTCCAGTCCTACCCTCCTACTGCCAGGTGGGCAGGGACACCTTCCATGATCCCAGGTCACTCCAAGCCCCGTCCAACCTGGCCTTGGACACTTCCAGGGATCCAGAGGCAGCCACAGCTGCTCTGGGCAACCTGTGCCAGGGCCTGCCCACCCTCACAGGGAAGAATTCCTTCCCAATATCCCATCTATTCCTGCCCTCTGGCAGTGGGAAGATATTCCCCCTTATCCTGTCACTCCAGGCCTTGTCCACATTCTCTCTCCTTGTTTCCTGTCACATCCTTCAGGCACTGCAAGGCCACACTGAGCTCACCCCAGAGCTTCTCTCCAGGCTGAACAATCCCAACTCTCCCAGCCTTTCCTCCCAGCAGAGCTGCTCCATCCCTCTGCTCATCCTGGTGCCCCCTCTGGACTCTCTCCAGCAGCTCCACGTCCTCCCTGTGCTGGGCCCCAGGGCTGGGGCAGCTCTGCAGGTGGGGTCTCACCTGAGCACAGGGGCACAGGGGCAGCATCCCAATCCCTTTCCTGCTGCCCACGCTGGGGATCAGCCTGGCACAGGGGGGTCCAGGGACGGAGCCAGTGATACTTTGGGTAGAGGAAGGAGCGAGAGAAGGAAGATATGTGTTAACCTCATCTAGGCAAAGGATCTATTGGAGATAAGAAACCCCAGGACTTTGTGCTGGAAGGACCTGGAGACCCAAAAAACTGAGCCTTGTCCATCCTCTGTGTCAGGAAAGGGGTTTTGAGCAGTCAGGGCAGCAGTGGATGAAGCACCAAGGGTCAAACACAGGGGGATTAAAACCCTCTGGATCAAACACCACCCTGTGTTAAATCCCTCTGGGTCAAACACAGAGGGATTAAACCCCTCTGGATCAAACACCAAGGGATTAACCCCCTCTGGATCAAAACCAAAGGCTTAAACACAGAGGGATTAAACACCTTCCTCAGCCAACCACTGCGGGAAGCCCCAGCCACGAGCACATTAACTGCAAGGCCACCCCAGGAGTTTTTGGGACTTTGAGCCAACAAAAAGGGATCCTCCCACAAAAGTCCAGGAGCTTTTGGCCATGTGCACAGCTTGGGGCTCTGTGTGCAGTGCTGGGGAGATTTGTCCATCTCTCTGCCCAGGAAACCCACACCCCACAAACAGCTGGGCTCCCTTGATGTTCAAGGCTGCCTGAGGGGACAATATCCTCAATTAACAGATGCTATTCAGGTTGAGAGGTTCCTGGATGCCTTTGCTCTCCCTGCTCCCATGGAAGCTGGTGGGCAGTCCCTGTGCCCTGCCACATTACCATAACACCAATGATAATCTCAAATATCCCTTGTACAGGCAGTGTTGTGTTTGCTTTTCTGCCTGCTGCTGTTGAGGTAACAGATGTTTTCATTGAGCTGTTCACAATAACCCCTGGGCCTTTCCCCTGAGTGGTTCCAGTTAATTTAAAATGCAGCAATGTGGACGAGGAGGTTGGATTTTGCCTTCCAATGCACATTAACTTGCATTTGTCAACATTTAATTTCATCTGCCACTGCCTTGCCTGCTCACCTGCCTGGATAGAGCCGTTCCCAGCTTTTCACAGCTTGAACTACACAACTAAATAAAATTTCACTAAAGAACTGTGGGAAACTACTGTTTATTCCATCTTTTCCTCCCCTCTAATTCTGGATTATATTTTTAAAAGCCAGGCCCAAGCCTCCAGATTCTCTCCTCTTCTACAGCTACACTGAAAATTGGTTGTTTTTTTTTTTTGTTTAACTCACGGCTGCTTCCTAACCTGTGCCGGTAATTCCTTTATTTAAGGCTGCCCTCTTGTTCCACTGCCTCCTTCTCTACTGGGATCTTATCTTTAGATCCCTCTGAAGTCTCTTCCTATGGTTATTCCCTGCGTAGTGTTCTCAGCAAAATCTGTGAAGAGGCAATTAGCAGAGGCCTCTGCCTCCTGTCTATTCCCAGATTAAATTCTCTCACCAATTTCTACTTCCAGTCCCTTATACAACCACTTGGTAGGAGCTCTTTTCCCTCTTTATTCAGTGGAAAAGAAAGAATTTAGAGTTCAAAAGCAACTCTGGACACAACATTTCCCTTGCCCTCTCTTCTGAGGCTTCCAGAAAACCCACAAAGGGAACAGCCGCTGTGTCCAGCTCTGGCTCCTCAGTTCAGGAAGGACATTGGAAGGACTAAAGAGATTGTCCAGGGAAGGGAACAGAACTGAGGATGTGTCTGGAGCACCAGGAGCAGCTGAGGGAGCTGGGAAAGGGGCTCAGCCTGGAGAAAAGGAGGCTCAGGGGGGACCTTCTGGCTCTGCAGAGCTCCCTGACAGGAGGGGACAGCTGGGGGTGGTTGGGCTCTGCTCCCAGGGAACAGGGACAGGACGAGGGGAAACAGCCTCAAGCTGTGCCAGGGGAGGTTCAGGTTGGACATCAGGAGGAATTTCTTCACTGTAAGGGTGGGCAGGCCTTGGCAGGGGCTGCCCAGGGAGGTTTGGAGCCCCCATCCCTGGAGGTATCCAAGGAATGCCTGGACATAGCACTCAGTTCTGTGGGCTGGTGACAAGGTGGGGATCAGGCACAGGTTGGATTTGACCATCTTGGACATCTTTTCCAACCTCAGTGATTCTGGGATTCTCTCATATTGGGATAATTGCTAAGAAAAGGCAGATCCCATGTCTAATCCCCTCCCAGTTTCCCAGAGGTTGTGTCCAGCCCTGAGGCTGCAGTTTTGAGGACAGGCAGCTGCTTTGCTCTGCCCTCTCTTTGCCAGACACTTGGCAGATGTCAGCTCCAGCATTCCCACCCTTGGATAGACACAGCACAGCAGCCAGGGACACACAACTGGATTACTGGATACACGATTTGTGATTTACCCCACAAAAGGGAAAGAAGGGGAGACTGGGATATGACTTTTTAAGGAATGGGAATGGATCAGTTCGCAGGGCTCCACAGAGGGCAGTGAACAGCCAGGGCCTAGCTGAAGACAAAGAAGGAATAGGATGTTTTCCTGCTGAACTTGGCCATCCTCCCACCAGCTCTGCCCTACACCAGACTGTTCAGGCACAAACCTCCAAGGATTTTCTGTTCATTTTCAAATTGCATTTCCATATTTAAATTCGAGGAGGAAGAAAAGAAACCCCAAAACCAGTGCTTCCTAGAATCCGTCAGGGAAACCTGACCTAACAGCTTTGACCCCTGGGCACAACTATGAATTCTGAGCAACCTTTTATTTCTCCTTAAAAATCAAATGCAAGCTCTGGGAGGCAACTCACTCGAACACAAGCGTTCACTGCAAACTCCATTTCCTTGTCAGAAACTGTAACAGACTCAGGATTTGCACTCCCTCTGGCCAGAGGATGCTGCTCCAACCCTGCTCCTTTCAAGCCCCCAAGCTCTCTGTAGAGTCATTAACATGGAAATAGAGAAGAAATTCAATATTTTGGCAATTGGACAGTGTCTTTCTCCAACCACAGGAAGGCATTTCCCTGTTGATCTTTGTGTTGTCAAAAAAGCAGCAACACCCCTTTGACAAGTTTTGCTTTATCTCTGCAGAACCTCATGAATCTGCTTCCAGATCCTCCTTTCCAAAAGTGTGAGCACCAAGAAATTCTCTTTTGAGTCTGGATAGTCAAGGCCACTTCTATTCCTTAGCTCCATTCCCCTCCTCTTCCTCCTCCTTTTGTGAACTGGGGAGAAGGAGCACAGCAAAAGAAATTGCTGTTAATTATTCCTATTATTGGGAGCATGAGGACCCTGGGGATTATGACCTACATACATTTATTAGCCACATCCAAACAGCTTCCATGCTGACTGCAGCAAGCAGCAGAGACCAGGAGGATCTGGAGGAGGGAAGAGGAAGGAAGCCATCATCCCCTTGCATCTCACACTCACAGACATCAAGCTGTGAGAAAAGAACCGGAGCAAAAATGCACCAAAATGTCCCCAGGGGACCCTCAGCACTCTCCAGCTTCCCAGCTTTTGGAGGTCTGGCAAGATCTTCAGCCAGAACTGTCCCAGAATTTTTATGAGACCTTGTCCAAGCCCTGTAAAATGGCACCAGGGGAGAATGGTGTTTCCACAAGGAGGTTTGGCTGACCATGGAAAGGAAGGCAAAGGAGGTAGACTGGGCTGCAATCTGCGAGGTCCTGGCTGTCTGTCTCAAGGACCACAGACTCATCCAGCTTTCCCAATGTCCCCAAGAGTTTCTGAAAGCTTGTTCATGGATTTAGGCCACAAACGTGTCTGTGACTACAGAGGTGGATACAAGACACCCCCACGTTCACCTCTGGGTGCAGGAAGGGAACTTTGCACTTGAGTTGGTTCATAACTGGGAAAACACAAGTTTATCCTCTTAAGTTCCCACTTTAGGATTTCAGCCCTCTCCATGGATCAGCTGCCTTCTCAAGCAGACACAAACCCCCAGACCCTGCTGAAATGCCTGCAGAGCAAGCAGAGAGCGACTGCTGCCCTCATTAGGAAGGACAAAGCCTTCTCAGCAGTGGATTAAAAAAAGCAGCTCACACTGGGGTTTGCAGGGTAGGACACGGGCTCATTCCAATGCTAACCAGATTATTGAGCTCGCTGAAGGCTATCTCTGAAGGGATAGTTGGAATTAGTTGATAGTGATTTAATTTGTGTTGCAGATTGCTAATTAAGCCTGTGAAGAGGACAAAAAAAATTAATCCATTTAGTTAAGGAGATACAATGAGAGATGTGGCAACACTGGAGTCATTCACAGCCAGGAATAAATGGAAAGATTTGCTCCACCTCACCTTTGAGCACAGAGCATGTGTGGGCATGGAGGTCTGGCCACCCCCACCCATCCCAATTCCCCTGGATTGCAGGATATCATGGAATCATGGAAACATTATGGTTGGAAAAGACCTTTAGGATCAGCCCAGCACCACCACTAAACCCTGTCCTCCAGGGCCACATCCATACATTCTCCACCATTTCCAGGGATGGTGGCTCCATCACTGCTTGCTTCCAGGGCTTGACATGCTTTCCATGGGGAAATTTTCCCAAACTGAACCACCTCTGGCAGAGCTGGAGGCTGTTCCCTCTTGTCCTGTCCCTTGTTCCCTGGGAGCAGAGCCCGACCCCACCTGCTTCCGCCCTGGTGGACCCATGTGGGGCTTTGACCGCCAACTCCAGGGCTTGATCCAAGAGGAAAATCTCTCCAGGGAAGGAGAGGTAATTAAAAAGCATTAAAAGCACCCAGGGATGTCCTCTGGGAATGCTCCCAGAGACAGCACAGCCTCCACATTAATCCTGTTTAATCTACCTCTCCCAGGATTCCCAGGCACTCCCAAACCACCACAGCCCATCTTGATTTTCAAAGCCAAGCAATAGGAAGTCAGCTCACACCTCAGTGAGTTGCTCCAACATTTAATTAACCTGCTAACCCCAAAATCACTCCAGGCACTGGAAGTCATTTTACAAAAAAATGCCCAGATATCTTCAAAGAGGAAATTTAAAAATTATTTTGGAAAGCAGAATTCAATTTATTCATTAAAAAAAAAAAAAAGAGCAACAAAGCCTCCACAGAAACACTGAGTACCTTTCAAAGCTCTTTAAAAATATTTAAAAAGTTATTAAATCAGAAAGTCATCTTGATTTTTCTTTAATTTTCAAGGAGAATGCTCCTTTTTCTCCCTCAATATGCACCAGATTTCCAGGGAAGCTGCTTCACAGCTGGCTGGATTTTTATCACAGTTTGGAAAAGCACCAGGAAATCTGAAGTTTGATGTCTGGCTGGCTGGCTGAAAGTTGGGAAAGGCTGTTTGAGGGTGACACAAAGTTGCTGCTGGCAACTCCCCTGATCTGATTCTGCCCTGTCCCTTCTCCTCCTGTCCTGCCCAGATTTTATCTTTTCATCCATTTGGGTTTGAGCTGGCTGAGGGCAAATCCCAATCCAAGGAGCCCCCACCCCCCTGTGATCCAGCCCCGTGGCCGAGCTGGAGCATTGCACCAGTGGATCCCAACTTCCAGAGCTCACAGCAGCAGATGGAAACTGGATCCTGCTCCCATCAGTGCCCCTTGGGGACGTCTCTGGAGGAGAAACAGATGTCCATCCTCCGCTAATCATGGAATGGTTTGGGTTGGAGTGGACCTAAAATTCATCCAGTCCCGCCCCTGCCATGGGCAGGGACACCTGCCACTGTCCCAGGGTGCTCCAAGCTCCGTCCAGCCTGGCCTTGGACACTTCCAGGGATCCAGGGGCAGCCACAGCTTCTCTGGACACCCTGTGCCAGGGCCTCAGCACCCTCACGGATAAGAATTCCACAGAATCACAGAATGTTCTGGGTTGGAAGGGACCCACAAGGTCATCAAGTCCAACTCTCAAAGTGACTGGCTCAGCCAGGGACCGAAGCCACAACCTTGGTGTTTATGGCACCAGATCCAACCCAAATCCACCCTCCTTCTGATTAAGGCCATTCCCCCTTGTCCTGTCACTCCAGGCCCTTATGGGAAGTCCCTCTCCTGCCCTCTTGTGAGCCCCCTTTGGGTACTGGGGGTTTTTCCAAAGCCTTCTCTTCCCCAGGCTGAAGGAATGCCAAGATAAAAAAGGCTGGATTTCTCCTCAATGTTCCAAGTTTCCAGGAGACCACCTCAGCCACCACCCCTTCACCCACAATCTCTTTCTGGAGAAGCTGCAGATTTGTGGGCAGTGAAAACCACCACCCCCAGCTACATCCCAGCTCAGGACAAAGACCACCAAGTTAATCCCCTCGTTCCCAACATCAGGCACAAAGCTGGAAGCCCCTTGGGGACACTTGATGCCACTTGTCACATAAACCCAGCCACCCCAACAACCACCCCAGGAGCAGGGTCTGTCCCTGCCAGTGAGAATGGGGCAGCTGCAATGCCTGTCAGGAAGGAATAATTCAATTCCATCCTGCCCTCCAAGATGGGAAAGGCAGCAGAGGGTTTTACTGTAACAACTGTTACTAGGCCTCAGCCAGCATGGCTCTCTGCCTTCCCCTGGCAGGGATTTTGGGAGCACAAACACATCTGTCTCGGCAGCTGGGCCTTCCAAAACACACCATCCCCATCCCCTGGTCTCAGCTCTGCAGCTGCACGAATTTGTGCAATCCACAAATCATCCAGAGGCATTCATATGGCATTGAAAGCACCAAAGAATCCACTCAAAGCCTGGTGAATCCCCATATTCCAAGATCCAGGAATGCTGAAATGCTTTTCCTCCCTTCCTTTTCAAGGCGGTGGATCCTGCTTCTTGTAGCCTTGATACCAACGCAAAGTAAACTTAACGTGGGGAGTGACAGGCCCCTGAGGGTGTTTATTGGGGGATGAGCTCCTCAAACAGCATCTTTGCCAAAGAAAACATTCCTGGCTGGGGGAGCTGCTCTGTCCTTCCCAAAGATCCGCAGACGGAGGGTCCGAAGGAGGCATCCAGGTGAGCACAGACCAAACGGAGCAAACAGCACTGGCCACATGTCCTACACCCCACAGATCTCCCAGGCTGGAGAAGTCATCCCTAGGGGCATCATACCAAGGATTTTACTTGTAAATCCTGCCTGGATTCCGTGCCACTTCATCCATCCCCAGCGGTTCCTACAGCTGGAGCAGCCCCGCTCATTTATTCACCCTGGGATGGTTCAGCCCTCCAAGGGAAAAGAACTTTTTTGTTTCCACAGCTCTTTGAAAGCTTCGCCAGGGAAGTTGCAGCACCTTTGAAGCTGTTCTGAGTCCAGGAAGGTGCCAGGCTGTTCCTGAATGATAGCACGGCAGCACAGCTCCGGGAAGAGGGACAGGAATCTTGAAAGCAGCTCCAAAGGAGTTAAAGCCCAGCACTTGCCTGTGGGATTGCTGCACCACATAAGGCCCCAGAGATACAAGGGGATTGTCTGGATAAAAGTTGATTAGTCCACATTACAGGGATTAGCATTCCCTTTGAACTTTTAACAACTTTGTTATGTCTTTTACTTGCCTTTTTATGTAAAAAAATAAATAAAAAGGTGGAGGGGTTTTTAAGCCGATTTTTTTTTTTTTTTTTTCTTTTAAAGGAAATGATTAATTCTCCCTATTACCAGCAGATAAAGCCCTGGCCACACTTGAAAGGGGGAGTCAATAACATGGGGAGGTTGGAAGAACCACAAATCCTATTGGACATGCTCTGGCTGGCTTTAGATATTTCCTTTGTAGCAGGAGCAGGCTGGATTCCGCAGCACACGCCGGGATGGCACGGGAGGGGCTGGAATGGCAGGGGCCAGCAGGGAGGACAGGAGGCCAATCCTATTTGGAGAACTCCTGGAAAGGCAAGGAAATGGCAGCTGGAAGTGGTGCAAGCGAGGTCAGGGCAGAGCTGCTCCCTGGGGAGGGCCTGTCTGGGCTTCAGCAGGGAAGACGAAGCAAACCAGGAATAAAATTCACACTTGGAACTGGACAGGATCAAGGGAGAGCTGTAGGATGAAGGTGGAGATAAGGGGGAGTGTGAACATCACCCTGAGCCCACAGCAGCCAAGAGAATGATCCTTTATGGAGCTCTGGTGGGGGAGAATCCCTGTTCCCCCCTTGCTTCTCTGATCGCTCCAGCCTGGCGTTTACCCCTGTCCTGTCACTGTGTCCAGGATTTGCTGCAAGTGCAAATGCCCTGGGAAGGGTAACAGGAAATGAGAGTCCTCGAGAAGGCAGCAGAGGAGAAGGAGCAAACACAGAGGGATCTCCCACTGCCCCTCTCTGAGATCCATTGACAGGTAAATTAATTCCTCTGGGAATTGTGCTGTTCCCCTGTCTCAGATGCTGCTCCACTGGAATCGGGACGATCACCTTGACCCCAGGACTACTGTCAGGAGGCTTTCCCCTGCCTAGGGCTGAG